ATATAGCTGTCATTTTTGTCATATGCATTCTCTTCTGGGCTGAATACACTTTTGGACTTGCCTATTGACATAATAAGTCCTGGGAAGAATTTGCTACCATTACAAAAGCAACAGTTGCTCTCTGTGCTTTGCTGCAGAGCAGCTACCAGAGAGACCCCTGGACTTCTGAAGAGAAATCTTCTCTCCCTCTTACGCCCAAGGCTAGCCAGGCTGGCTGATGAGCCTAATGTGGGCTATTGTGATTGCCATGTGTATATGTCCTGCTAAATATTGGCTCCAGATATGCTTAAAAAGCAGCTATAAACAGCTTTTGGCTATGCACAAACTCTCCAGGTCTTTTATCAGCAGGTATTATTCTTATGCAGCAATCCTCTTATTTCCTGTCAAAACTTCTTTTGAAGATGGATGTTGCTTCTCTCTCTAGTCCTGGTTTAATAACTGTGTTGGGGTCAGGTAATTCCCACTTTCATTTCAGATTTACCAGAAGGGGAAAAAAAATCTGTCAAGAGCAGGTTCACACTATTATGTGGATGACAAGGGCTGCAAGAAGAAAATGCAGAAGGTAAATAAGTAGAAACATGTCTGACAGCTGAATTTAGGCAGGCTGGCATGTTCAGTGTGCTCAGTGACACACAGAGGTTCTGGGAGGGATCAGCAGGTGCATCTTCATCAAGCAGAAATTCGGGGCTTGATGAAGAAAAATCTTTGGTTTTCTTTATTGTAAAAAATGTCCTGTTCTTTTCCTTGAGCAACCAGCCATGGGAGGCATGACAACCCCCACATCCTTCACATCGGTCTGATTCTTTTCCCCAGTATATTGAGAGTTTTCCCAGTTTTATGAAAGATCCACTCTACTTTGGGGACTTCAGCCCCAGGAATCATATGAAAATGATTGGTCATTAATTTTCATTCTCTAATAAACTTGTGAAATTAGGGAGTAACAGGACACATTAACTGATTTCTACATTCTTTACATCTTTGGGATTGCAACAATTTAGGCCATGTTTGATCAATGCAGAGCAACCGCATTAGAGTCAGTTCAGGTTTTCTTTGGTTTTTTTTCATATCACAGTGGAGGCTCTGTGTCTTTATTGAGCATAACATTGAGGAAATGCTAATATTTATTCTTTTAGGCCTTCTCCAGTATATTCTAGCTTTCTCTGCGTCTTAAGACATATTGTCTTATTTCAAACTGAAATGTAGGCTGCTCCAAACACAGAGGTGCTGCACTGGAAGGACATCCTTCTACAAAAAATTGCTTATAAATATTGTCTTCATGGCATTTAAATATAAAAGAACACGTAATCTGATAAACCAGCTCACATGATGTGTTTGGAAGAACAAATTTCACTGTCTGCCAACGCGTTGGAGAGAGGTAGATTAAGGCCATAGGCTAATTAACTTTGCTCTCTGCATCCTCCTTCCTTTAGCCACAGATAAAACATAGCTGATTTGAAACTGATATAAGAAATGCTGCAGAAGCTCTGTTCTCAAGAGGCAGTTGACAATTTGAGTAAGGAGACACCAGAAGTTTATGCACAGATATGGGGGAGTGGGCACAAGCAGTCTGTCACCGACTGGCTCCTTATGGGGCTATTCCACTGTCCTAATGAAAGGTGGCTGTCAGAGACTCCAGAAAACCAGCACCATGAGCTGTGTGAAGGGTCTTGCTCTGCATTCAGATGTTGAATGTTGCTTACCCAGACACAAGCTAATATTATACTCTGAAAGACACCCTCATATTTTACCAGTGCTCTGAGAGTGAGTGGTGGTAAACCAGCTGCTGGTGGTGTGGGATATAACAATTTGGAAAGAAGCTACTATGTGGCCAGAAATTACAGCTCAGTATGAATGAATGAGCTCCACTGTTGGTCTTGCTAGTTCATGCCTATAGGCCCCTTCTGCCTAGAACTGCCTGAAAATATTTATTTCAGCCTGAAGTATTTATGTTGATGATGACCTGCAGACCTTGATGTAGTTTCACATGAATAAGCACAGATAATTGCCTGGCTGATTGCTCAGTAAACCTGCTATCTGAATATCTGGACGGAAGGGCCTCTGTTTTGTTTAGGTAGTATGGATAACCATAAGATTTCAGCATTTGCTACTGTTTTAAAGTATTGTAATTCACGTTACTTATTTGGCTAATGGGCCCAAACCTTAATATTGGAACACCTAATAGAAGAAACTTTAAATACATATGGAACAGCTGTAATTTTTTGCTTAAATATTCATTTAATCAGATGAAAATAGCATTGTATAGAGGCTGCTGAAATGTGTCCCTTATTATAACACATTAAAATGAGGAAAAACTTCATCTGGAGTGTCCAAGTGAGTGACTGCTTTCAGGTCCAAGGTAGAAAACTGAAAAGTGTATTGTTGATACCTAGAACTTATTCTAAAAAGACTTTATGACTTTTCTGATTTTTTGTCAGATAAGTATGGTACCAGGAAGAGAATCTGAATCTGAAAATTACGAGATGGAAGAGACAGAGCGGTAACTTTTTATTTAGTATAAAGTGACAGTATGTTTTACAAATCCTATTCGAGCTGAAGTTTCAGCCAATTAACATTGCAGTTCATTAAAAAGATTGATTATTTTTGGAGTGGGAGAAGACTGATAAGTACCAGTTTCAAGCCACCCTTAATAGCCTCATATCTGTAACAGATGTTGGTTGTCAATTCTCCTGGGAAATGCTAAAAAAATATTCAGCACAACAAATGGCCCTTCACAAAGTGTACTCTCCAGCTTCTGGAAATCAATATTGTGGAAAGTTTTTAATTGAGAATTTTGATATTTTTTGTCAATTAGAGCTGATGCCTGTGCCTCACTTTAAAAAAATAGTGCTTGCATGTAAGACTTAGATAAGGCAAAAAAAAACACCAACTTTTTTTTCTGGTTGCTATAACATTCAGCTTTAAAACTTGGAAAATACAGAGAAGGGCAGAGCAGAGCAGAGATTATTTAGAAGAGCACTTTACACTGGAAGACTATAATTTATGTTATTATTCTACAATGTATCCCAGAAGACCCAATAGTGAACCAATGAGTGTGGAATGATACAAGGCATTTACAACCCATTCTTCTCAGATATGGGATTTATACTAGAAGTCTTAGAAATTAAATAATGATCAGATGTTCTGCTCAAGTTGCATAGGAAGAACAAATGAAGGACTAAATGAAAAGCATCAATTTGGAGATCTCTGAATGACACATTTTGCTCATTATTACAAGTACAATTACTATTATTTCTTGTTATCTTCCCAGAAGACCAAATGCACAAAAGGAAGGAGGGTTAAAAGCAGACTCCTCAAACACTAGCTATTAGTCAAAACATCCTGAATAAATGAAAGCAGGGGGATGTGGGGAGGACTGACAAAACAGCAAGGTGCAACACTAAAGAGGAAGAAGGGAAAAAACAGCAATGGAAGCACGAGGCTTTAAGGCATCAGCAGCAGTGAGAGACCCCAGTGTGCAAGAGGAGCAGCTCCTCAGGCTGGTGATGCAGCCCCAGGTGGGAACTGCAGAGGTGCTGAACAACTCCTGCCAAAGCAGTGATGAACAGACCTAATGGGGAGCCTGAAAAGACATTTATTTCAGCCCACGTCGTCTGTCCGATTTTGAAGTATAAATTTTGAGAGGCGGTTTTCATTTCTGTGGTTGAATGATTGTCTTCTGCATTACCAAGTCTCTGGATTTCCAGGCTCTCTGGTGCTTCAGTGACTTGGATTAAAACATGCCCATGAAGGTCCAGCTGCTGTAGGAGTCCCTGCAAGGCTCTCCCTGGAATCTGGGGGCTAATATTACTTTTGCTAAAGCTGTCTGAAGGCGGGCAGGCTGCATGCTCTGAGAAGGATTAGGCACCCCCGGCACTCACTGCCCTCCCTGGCTCTGTAAAGGACCCTTCAGTGTTACCCTGCAAATCAATTCAAATACAAACACAAATGAGAACTTGAGCTTTTCCACTTTCATTTATTTTCAGTTTTATCTGACTGAGACTAATTACTGATTTTTTTTAAGTATGAAAACATTTACACCTTTAGAAGTGTTTAATGTCCAAGAGTTGTTCTATTTTTTCCTTTCTCCAATTCTACCACAATTTCCTTGCAGGTGGAAAATCCCCCAAAATTTTGCCTCACAAAATTCAGAATTATTTTTAGGTCTCTGAAAGCCACTGAAGCATAAAACCAGTGGCTCATCCTTCTTAATTGTTACATTACACACTTTGACATTTTAAAATATTTTATTTGTATTTACAAATTGTTTTATTTATATTTCCTAAGTTATTTTGCTTACATTGGATCTTACATTACAACTTATTTCCCTCATTCTTTTACTTAATATTCAGTGTATTGTTTTAGAGAGAAGAAATATTTTTTCATTTATAAATGCTTATAGAAAATAATTTATGCATTAATGAACATGTAGTTTTGGTATTATTTAATTATATTACTTGTCTCTTTTCCTTGCTTTCTATTATCTCCCCTCTTCTCTCTTTGTACTGTGATTTCGTACCCCTGTTTCACCTCCAGTACTCCTTTCTTCTTCCCTGCCCTTTTTATTTCCAGTTCTTCATCTTTTTTTTTTTTTTCTTAACAGCACAGAACTCCAACTATTTAATTAATGAAGAAAATGGTTGGACTGTTGTGATGTTCATTACGGACAAGTAGATTTGAAAATACTTCGTACTCTGCTTTTATGAATTTATGAAGTTTAGATTTAATACGGTTTTAGATCAGATATCTGCTCCAACATTTCTGGAGACACAGACTGGGAGACATCCTGTTCTCTGAACAAGATTGTGTCATTTTCCAGAACACTTCCACATGTAAACAATGGGCTGCTTGCATAGCAAGGTAAATGGTGTTTCTGCACACCAGAGCCATAAGCTCTCACCCCTGAAAGTGAAATGCAGTGAAATCATCCACTCAGCCACAGCCTTTGCTGGCACACAGGAAATCTTTATCCTGATTCTATATTTTTACATTTGTCTGCTTACCTTCCAGTATGTTCCTGCTGAAAAAGAGATGATGATGAGTTCAGGATGAGCTCTAGTGCATGCATCAGACACTAAGACCAGTTGGCCGCAAGGAGTCATTTAATCAGGCTGTATATAACTTGTGACACGTGTTAGCGTTGATCACCACCCTTCATCATTTCTTCAGTGGTGTATCTAGAAAGAGAATGGTGATGTTATTAATTTTAAAACAATTAGCTGATAAGTGTTTTGGGCTGATTAATTGTGAAAAATAGTCCTGGAAAATGCAAACAAAGCTAATGATTTGTTACAGTAATTTTGCTATTTCAGTCTTGTATTTTTTAGCAACCAATACAGTGGAATAAGAGGCAAGGCTTGTAGTCCTCTTTACAGTTATGGCTCTTCTAATCTTTTCTTGGCCTTTTGCCTAGAAAGCTAAATGAAAAAACAACCATATTATAAATATTTGAAAGGAAAAATCTTTTTAATAGTGAGTCAGTGAAGGGACAGTAATCTTGGACAAATAATTTGTATTAAACAAGGATTTCCTTCCAGCCTCCAGCTCTCCATTGTTCTAGCCAAGGTTGTGAAATGTGAACACACGTATGTAAGGGTGCATAAAAAATGATTGACTTGACTATATTCTGTACTTTTCAGTGAACAAGGCACACTGAAAGCTACAGAATACCTGAATGAAACTTCATTCAGGTTCATAACAAACAATAGTAAAACACCAAATTCTCAAATTCTATCTATGGATAGAAAAGCAAAAAGTGCAACAGCTTTTTTCTTTTTTTTTTTCTTTGCTTTGTTTCCTAGTTGACTGAGAAATAAACAGTTAGAGACTCTTTTATAGGGTGGTGACAACTTCAGAAGTTCTAATGAAAATTCCTTTTTCAGTCCTTTACAATCCACTTATTTGGACCCGACACATCTCAAAATTATTTGTTCAATAAAATCACAACACCAATGTTTGTAGGAGACTTGAAGAGACTCCAATCTCTAGATGACAAATAAGATCAACTTTTAATATCTTCTGTATGACTTCTATGGTTATAAACCCCATAAAAACACAATATGTACTTCAGTCTTCTTTACTACTGCAAAATACAACTCCAAATAAATTATTTATATTACTAAACAGGATATTTATGGAAATCTCTGAACTGCAGTTGACCAGGCATTCTTCCTTAAATTCAACTCCATTTTTAAAAATACTAACTTATGCTTCAGTTATATTAAAAATGAAAAAAAAGTGTCAGCAAGTTTTCATTGTGATAAACTTACATTTAGAGGGAACTTAGATATTTGGAGGTACACAGAAATTTAAAATGTAACTGGAATGTTGACCAAATATTTTAATGAAGGATTTGATTCAAGTGAATATTAAATAAAACTCAGTCACTCAATATTTGATCTGTGAAGTTTAGAAAATTTGGAGTATGGGGGATCAATATTAATAAATTTGAACATTTTAAACCATAAGAATCTGTTTGAAGGTGAAAATGATGACCAGAGTTTCTAATAAAACAGGGAATTGCCTCATCTATGAAAGGATTGGTTTTGCCCTTTGGACCTTACAAGACAATCACTGAAAGGCTGTTGATTTTATAATTCCAGTGAAGATAGGGAAATCCTCATAAAATGATATAGGCTTCTATAATTATATGGATTATTACATTTCCTATCAGTTCAACCACAGCAGTACTGATTTAAGAATGCCATCTACTTACTCTGAGTTATAAAAATAAGTAATTTTTCAGCCTTGGCTTGAAAAATAAGATAAGGAGGCAACTGCCTAAGGTGGTAAGTTGGGAACAAGGACCTGCACACCAGCCTTGAAGAGAGGACACTGGCTCTCCCCAGCTGAACTGTCACACTCAGTTTCCACCCACATTACTGTGGTTGTTGCAGTTGTGGGAAGGACTGACCTGTGCAGGACCTACCCTATGGAGGGGAAAGAAGTGACTCTTCTCTGCAGAAGTCAATGGCTCCACCTGTATTACCATTTTTTGGTAAATCACTTCATGAAATGAGTCATAGAGTGCATTAACTGCATTTCTTTTGATGAGACCAAATGGCAAGCTTTGTTCCAAGAGCACAACTAATGCTATCCAATTGCTTATGCAGAGTTAGCCCATGATATATGACTAGAGTCAAAATAGGGGATGGAAGCCCAAATATAGAAGAAAAAAAAAACATAAAATCAGAGTTCTAACTCAGTCCTCACCACTGCTTGCTCCACACTCTCCCTTACACTTGCCAATGCAGACATAGCCATAGATCAAAAAATGTTGGACTTGAAGTTGACTCAGAACTCTGAAGATGCTCTCTTGTTTCTCCACTCAGAAAGCCATTCTTTCACATTCTTTTAGGTGATTAATAATGGCTTTCTCCTCACAGTCATTACTTTCTGCTAGATGAAATTGGGATACTGTTGGTTATTTACTTTGATTCATATACCAAAGATGTCTATTTTGTAAGCTTTGTGCACATTATACTGAAAATAGAAAGTTCTAACTTGGGAGAAAGACAGAAAGAACAGTAACTTGCTTTTGATCTTGCCTTAGATATGACAAAGGTATAATCTCTTAACCACGGCACTTCCTTTTGTGCTGATGTGCCAATGAAAAAATATGCTTCTGATGATGAAAGGATTAGTTTCAAGGGGTATTTTTGTTGTCCATGAAGTACATATTTCAAAGGGAAGAATGGATGATTCATCTTACTGGGGTCCAAAGAATACTGTAACTCTAGTATTTTATTTTACCTCCACAAGCAGTCAGCTTTGTTGGCTCTTTTTAATGTTGATGTTCTGCATATCTCCAGGCCTCTCATACATACAAGAAAGTGCTTGTTTAAAGCATAATACCTGCAGAAGCCTGAAAACTGAATGTTATGATTATCTCTCTTGAGGCACGTTCCTGTGGAAGTTTTGATTTGATTGAAGAACTTTGTAAACCATCATCTTTATGGCTTTATAAATAGAACTCTTTCATGATCTCCAGCTTTCTGAAGAAGATCTGGTCCCTGGATTAAAAAAACATGGCAAATAATCAATCCTACTTAGAGTGGACACTCAGTTTTCTTAACCAAAGTCAAATTAATAACTCTTGCACCACTCCGTGATGCTCTTTCTTTTACTGTCTTAAGGCCCAATGATGCAATACCATCCTCCTGCCAGCAAAGACACCGTCAAAAGATGGGCAGAGCCATTCAGTCAAGGAGTCTGTTTACATGCATAATGAAGTAAAGTGGTATCTCTGCAGAAGCCCTCAGAACTAAGGCATCCACTGTGAGATGCTTGATTAAACCTAGTCACCAGCATCCTCTCATACGTTTCCTCTTTGGGTGTTAGCAATCTGGATGCTGCAAAACAGATTAATTACTGCAGTCAAGACAACATCTTGACAGTCACGCTCCTTTTAGCCCTTAAAATCAGGACAGGAGAGGCAGGAAAATAATGCCAAAGCACTATTGTAATTAAGGCCTTCAATATTTCACCAAACAGTTGTTTTGCTTAGTCTCAGGGAACAGGAAAAAGCAAAGACTAAGACAAACACAGATATTTCCACCACTATCTCCTGCACAAGATAGCAAATATTTTGAAGCAAGTTGCAGTCTCAAACCTGACAAGTATTCCACAAATCTACAAGCTGACCTGAAGTAAACTCTCAGCTCCTCATAGTGACTTTCATTTGCAAACCACCAGTACCACTTCCTGCTCAATACACACCTCCTGCTCAATACACACCAACAGCTCTACTACTTAAGTGTTTTTACTTTTTATCTGTTTTCATCACTTCTACAATCACCTTCATAGCAAATAAAATCTTGTGCTTTCACCTTGTTTAACACAGCTTGAGCCCTTCCATTACTGTAGTTACTGGCTTGTTCCCTTAGCCTCTGAAAGGTCTCTATTTTAAACCAACAAAAAACAAAGTTCAGGTTTTACAGCCTAGACTCAACAGTGGCCAAAAAGTCCAACTGTGACAATTGAAATTCTCATTTGCCTCACTTTTGGTGTCTCTAGCTTGGTGTTGCACAAGCTTTCCTTGTTTTGTCCTGTGTTCAGAATAGACATGTTTTTAAAAAGTTATCTTCAAAGATTGCCCAGGGTTCTTTCCATTGCCTGCTTAGATCTCTTTGTTTGTTACTCTTTAAAATCTTTAAAATCTTTGTTACTCTTTGTAAAGCTTTAAAAAATAATCTTTAAAAAAGCCAAAAATGAAGTTACCTGATTTCCATTAGAAGCCTCTGACTTTATGCTGGAATCATTTTCTCAGTGCAACAAAGAACTAACGTGTCTACTGCAATTAGTAGTGACAACCTAATTCATCTTGGCTGAGGGTGCTTTTTCATTCTTTCATGAATATTTCATATGGGAAGTAAAAAACATCTGGGAAAGTTTACCTCAGAAGTACTGCATTACCAGGCTTCAAAATGACTGAGAATCTCTAATGTTTCATGGCAACCACGATTTTTTTCCTATTAATAATTTTTGTTTCTTTTTTTTTTTTTTTTTGCAATTGCTCAATAGCAGGATAAGACTTGACATATTTAGAATACCAAAATAACATTTTAATTTACAACAGCTAAAATTAAATGAATGTCACAACTTGAAAAATAAAAGTGCTTAAGATAGCCTGCAATTAGTGCAACTTTCCATACTATGTCAACCTAACACTGAAATCAAGTACATTTTGGAGCACTTGATATTTTATTTTTCTACCTATTTCTTTTGAAAGCTATACATTTTTAAAATTTAATTTAAAATATTGACTTAAATCTATGTTCATAAACATGAAAAGAATAGATAATCCTTTTAAAAGAAAAAGAAGTAGCTGGGGAAATTTGTATACCATACAACACAACACGGCAAAACTGATTCATCACAATGAAACAGGCATTGCCTGGGTACAATCAATATAATAAGTCTCCTAATATATTTTTGCATAAATTATGATGAATATTTAAAAGCTAATGATGTGATGATCCCAACTGCGACACTATCATAGAGTAAGTGATCAGCAAAAAAGTTTATCTGAGTACCCCAGTCCTGTGCTGTGCTGTGCTGCACTTCCAGCATGGCCTTCATGCCTGTGCTGGGCTGCACAAAACCCTTGGCTGAAGGATCACAGCAGCTGGCTTATTGCTAGAGGCAGCTCCTGCTGGGTACCAGCAATTGCAGCATCTTCCTGTTCCTTTTTATCGAGAAGTGCAGCAAAATGTTACATGAGCACCCTTTCTGTTAGACAGCAGAAATCATGAACACAGTTATTCTCATTCAAGGAATTCCTATAGCAAAAGGGGTCATTCTTCCCGTGGACAGTGTGTACACACTGTGCATCAGAGGTCTATTGAAAGCTACACAACTATAGATTTTTAACATTTAAAGGGATGTAAGTTTATCTGTATTCTTCTTTTCTTCTTTATGGTGTTACTTCTAATACATAATTTTTAAAGGATACTTTATAGAGCTTAAGTGACTTTTTTTCCTGGGGTCATAACAGACCTAACTGCCTTTGTGTAAAACAACTGCTTAAAATTACTGTTTGAAAACAGCAGGACTATGTAGACTGTAAATGGAAATCTGAGTTTCTCATAACAGGTCTATTTTTCTTCTCTGTATTCATTGAAGTACAAGTGCAACTATTTGAGTAAAGGATTGATGCCCAGCATGTGCACAGCTACTGCTGGACTTCTGATTGGCTCTGAAATATAATTTCCCTGCTCTCCCCAAGAGCACTTTCAAGAGGCATTGAGGAAATTATCTTAGACAACCTGCTCATTCCAGTTTTAAGAACCATTTTTGATGTAGTCAAATACATGCAAATGACATACAAAAATATCCTTTGTGAATCATAAACATTCCAGACATTTAGTCCAAATGCCTCCATAGCAATTACACATAGCCATTATGGGACATAATACTGTCCTTAGGGCCCCTCAGTGTTTGCCCCACAGCTCAAATTGACAATACCAATAGTAAAATTCTTCAAGTACTTGATTGAGTGACTGTAAGATTAAGAGTTAAAACTTGTACTGATCTTTTTCTTCCTTTGGCTGTTGCCTATATGCATACCCATTATGAGAACTGTTCAAATAATTATGTTTGCTAAAGAGTAAGCATACCCTGCCTCTTACTGCATCTGTAATATGCTCCAAATTAATACATGAATTTACAGCCTTCCAATTCTGTGCCACTTGCAAATTTGCTGTGAATACTCTCTGTCCCCTCACCAGGACTTTAACAAAGATGCTAACCAGTATTGGTTCCAGAGTCAAGCCTTGCAGCACACCAGTAGCTCCTTGTCTCCAGCTGGACTTTGTGTCACTTATCACAATCATCTGAGTGCAGCTGCACATTTTAGCCTACCTCATTCTCCACTTAGTCAATGTTTTGTTAGTTTGTCTACGAGGATGTTATGGGAGACAAGTCAAAATAAGGAGTACGCCCTGTTCTCCTCACATCCATCAAGATAGTCATCTTATCATAGAAGGTTTTCAGGTTGGTTATGTTGCTCTCCTCTTCATCAATCTATGCTGACTATGCCCATTTACTTTCCTAATTTTCATGTATTTGCAAATGTTTTCCAGGCTTATTTGCTTCATAACCTTCCTAAGGGTTAAGGTAAAATTGACTGCCTTGTGACTTCCCACATCCTCCATATTTTCCTTTGTGAAGACAAAAGTGTCTTTTGAGAACTTTTTTCCAGTTCTTAGGTGTCTCCACTGGTCATCATGATCTTTCAAACATAAGACTCATGATAAACAGATAAACAAAGACTTGTGAACTTTCAGCCTCTTGTTACTATAAAGCATTGGAAGTCCTATTGGCTGTGAGCTCACATCTTGAGCAATTGAAGAAGTCCTTTAAGCCTCAGTAAAGCTTCATGATGTAACATGGTCAAATATCAGCAGAATGCATTTTATCAGCAAACCTGAAAAACTGAATGAAAGCAACTGAATATGAGAAAATGGTTGTGAGGATTATAGCTTTCAAATATGTAATTGAAGTGGTTTTCATGAAGAAAAAATCTCTGCCATGACAGCCAAATATAAATGGATATAGGAGCACTGAAGAGCATATCTGGGTATCACTGATGCAACAACAAGGTGAAAAACAGTTGTAAGGGTTAAGTCTGAGTTTGCTTCAGAAAAATTTGTACAATAATTGCCTCTTCAATGATGAAGCCAAGGCAGGCCTGTGTCCCTCCACAGCTGTAATTTGGTTTACTTGGCAAGGTTTTTGTACCAGGGCAGGTGCAGAGGGGGCTTCTCTGAGAAGCTGCTAGAAGCTTCCCCTATGTCCAATGGAGCCAATGTCAGCTGGCTCTAGCACAGACAACTATCAAGAACTGAATGTGTCAAGCTAAAGCACTTAGCTGAGGGAGAAAATAGAAGTGCTGGTTCCAGGCCTTTTTCAAATTTTATCGATTACAAATTTTATCCAGAGCATATATATCTAAGGCAATGATCACAGAGATGACCCTCTTAACCTGAAAAGTCACATTCATTTTGTTACTGCTTCTTTCTCTTACTCAGTGATCTTCAGAAATCTTCCCCACATGAAAAAACATTTCAGCAGGAAGGACAGCTTGTTTTATTTCTCTGTTTTGTTTGGGTGTCTTTTGTTTCTGAAAAAGATGCCTCCATTTCCATCTGAACATCCACAATTTTCAATTTCTTTTTTTTACTTTAGGTGAAATTCAAATAGAGTTAGCAAAGAGGTTCTCTGCACACCTTGTCCTTGGAGAGCTCTTAAGAAAATTCTTAGCCTACAGAAAGACCTTCATTATGTCAATGGTGTTATGATTTATGAACCTGAGGGAAAAGTAGAGGATAACAACTTGATTAATGTCCCTTCTCTCCAGTCATGTTGCTTGAAACCTGAAGAGATAACAAATAAGGAAATATCCGATATGGATGACACTATTTGCTTTCAGCCTAAGGGATAGGATTAGCAATTTTTCCTGTACTAAAGTCCTCTAAATTTTGGAGGAAAGCCTCAA